TAACTAAACATCCCGATAATTGTTAAAGAAATGTTGTAAAAGGTTAACAAAGTATTGTCGAGAAATAAGCTACCAGATAACGAAGAGAAAACAAGAATGTTACGTGTAGATATGTAAATGAGGGGAGTGTCTCAATTAGAACTGTGACGTCACCTCAGACTATAAGTACAGTAGCTCAAGTGAAGACAGACGAGGTGAGCTCCTGAACCGAAAGCGTTGGTCTGCTGGTAGCAGTGAACAAGGTGTCGAATAGGAAATCCTAGTAGGAAATTGAAGTTCGATTTTGACGATAGGAAAAGAGGAAAGTCTTGAGTGGAAGAAAAAGGTTCCGAGTATTAATTGAGGTGACGGTTAGGATCGATAGTTATAAGAGAATTTGTAACTAAGTTAAGATTGAATTTTGTTTTGTCGGAATTCCAAGGGGAATAGTTTCTAAGTTAGAATAAGACTTAAGTTTGTCGGGTTGATTGTGATTTGATTTCTTATTTAATAAATTTGTTGTTTGTTTCTAAAATTTGTACATAGTGTTGTTAGACTTGATTAAACATTTATTATTGAGAGATTTTTTTGTGACTAACTTTGTCCTTACTTTATTTTGGTGCACACGAAAAGTCCAGGCCTGGCAACTAACAAATGCGAACCCGCGTAAATTACCCGTTAGGTCCCGGCTCTTTAAGAAAAAAATTCGTTGTAGAGCAAAACACTAAATATAGTACTTTACAATAGTTCACACTGAAGCCGTAATATATATATATATATATGTCTGTATATAAATTACATAAATTACCTATAAATTATTATACATATAAATACAATATAGTCCTCCTTCCAACAATAATAGAACATATAGTGATTGCCTAGAAACTCTGTTATTTTTTTTGTAACTTTGATAAAATTTTCTAGTATGTTTGATAGCAAAATAGCAACAATTATTGCATAAGTTTGGAGAAAAATGATTAATAAACAAAAGAGTTAGATATTATCATCAAAAATAGGATGTCCAACATTAATATACTGATTGGAATTAATTACAAAGAAAGTAATGATTGGAATGCATAAAATTGGCATAAAACGATCAACAAGTGAAAAAAAAAGGTTTAGTAAATTGCATAGCATGTTACCATTAAAAATGGGACATGGGAAGGATCTAACTGTGAAGGAGATCAAAATTGATGTGTTTTACCAGGAAGGGAGAAAAGTAAATTGGATTGCAAAAAGTTTGGGAAGACCGCATTCAACAATCTCAAAGTATTGTTTTTTGGATTTGTTTCATTAAACGTTTCTACTAACTTAAACCAGTTATTTACATTAGGGCTTATCATACCAGTGAATATGAACACAAAATTTCTTAAATTTATTTTATATTTCAGTTTACAAAACAAACAGATTTTACAATAATTAAATCTATTATGTATACAATACACTCAAAATGCATTTTGGATTCTAAAAGAGTCTCTGTTCAGTTGATGTTTTAATAAACAACAAAAGATAGAAATACATAAAAGGTATAGTAAAAGGCCGAAATAACCATGAAGACATTACAAGTAAGAAACTGATATTATCTCACAAGTGCTGTACAATAAATTCTATTATTTTCGTGTTTTCTATAAACAAGCCAGCCATAGAGAGTTCTGAACACAATTGCTATCAGTTCCATACCACTTTAAATATCAAAAAATAAGGTAATGGACACAATACTTACAATTGAGGTCCCTGAAAGATTGACTGAAACATTACACCAAATAAAAATAAAAATAATATGCACTTTTACAATCAAATCCCAGGGAAATAGCCATCACAGTACAACAATTTATATATACAACAAGTTATTTATATTAGGGTTTATCACACAGCCATAATATAAATAACTGGTTTAAGTTAGTAGAAACATTTAATCTCGAAGTATTACAATAATAAGGAGCAACGAACAGGAAAACAAAACATTGGGTGAGTTCAACAACATCTAGAAGACAATATGCAATTGTTTGAGGTGCACTGCAAAGAAACACATCCATTCAAAAAATCAAAAATGAATTGAAGCTTAACTGCAGTAAATGTACAGTACACAATGTTTCTTTCATCAAAATAAAAACAAGCAACCAGCTCAAGGAGAAACACAAACAACTTCAATTACAGTTTGCCATTAACAACTTTGAAGGAGAGGGAGGATAGCAAAATGTAATTTTTTCAGATGCAAAAAAGTAAAATCTCAATGAATCTGATGGTTTTAAGTATTATTGGGAAGACAAAAGACTAGAATGAAAGCAGTACTTAAAGATATTAGCTGATGGTGGTACATCCATGACTTGGGCAGGGATTGGATGAAATGGAAAGCCAGATCTAGTATTTATTGAAGGTCGAAACAACTCTCAAACTTATCAGAAGCTTCTCTGGAGGCAGCTCCAAACTTATGAATAGAAAATTGCTAGATAGAACTTTGAATTCATGCAAGATAATGCAAACTCCATGTCTCAAAATCAACATTATCCTTTTTTCAAAGCAAGAACGTCCAACTTTTGGACTGGACACCCCTCAATGCAGATTTAAACCCAATTGAAAATCTTTGGGGTGATTTAGTTTTCCAAATATATAGCATTAAAAAGTAATACAAGATCATCACTAACTAAAAGATGCTCTCATTGATGCATAGGAGAATATTCCACAAGAACAACTGTATCTTTGATTAATGCAATGTCTAATTGTATTTTTCAAGTTGTTTCCAAAAATGGTAGCAGAATAAACTACTAATTTTAATTTAAAGATATCATAATTTCAAGATGTTCTATTAATGTTGGACATTCTATTTTTGCTGATAGTATCTAGCTCTTCTGTTTATTAATCACTTTCCTCCAAATTTGTGCAATAATTGTTGATATCATACTATAATTTATACTAGAAAATTTCATTAAAGTTATATGAAAATAATAAAGAGTTTCTGGGCTAACACTGTATGTTATATTATTGTTGGAAGGATTGTATAATTATAATATGTTGCAGAATTATCATACAATAATATAAAAAACATATAGTTTTTAATTATTTTATTTTTCTGCACAGTGATAATAAGTTTAATTGTAAAATAAGTATAAAATGTTATCATAATAAATTTATTTATTTTTATTTTATTTATTTAATTTTACAAAGGCAAAGTTGTTATAGCAACATAGAATTATCACTCCCAAATAACAGGAATAAAAATTACAAAAAAACAAAAATAATACATAATACATAGCATTTTATGAGTAGATAGCTTTTTATATATACAGTAGAGCATCGATTATCCAAATGTCGATCAACTGAAAGCTTTCCAGTTGGCAAATTTAAATTTTCACTAGTGCTGTGGCACTGCAATCTTTGGCTATGTCTTGGGCTACTCCAATATTATTTTTGTTGGAATGTGTGTTTTAGCTAACAGCATTGGCGCAACTATGAGAGGGTACTTAAGGATGTGCCAGGATTTGAACGAATTTCAACATGGGATAGGTTAATGTATTTTTTCGTACACAATCGGTTATCCAAAAAATCGATTTTCTGAACAACCCAGTCCCCAACTGAATCGGATAATCTAAGCTCTACTGTAATTTAATTTTTTAAAAAACATTTCAAAGAATAATAAAATGTTAACTTTCTGACGAAAAGTGCCTACAAGTAAAGATCTGTACTTTGTCAAGCTATGAAACTTTTTGTCAGAAAGTAAACATTTTATTGTTTAAGAAATTAAAGTACGTCAAGACTCTTTTTTTACAAAAATTTTATATATTTAAAAAATTTTGTAAATGTTTAAAATATTTTAAAATGAATACAATGTAAAAGTAAAAAACTTTTAGAAATTATGTATATTAGTAATGCTAAGATAAAAAAACAAGTGATGAGAAACATTTAATCTAAAATTATGAGTACCAATAAAATATTTATAAAAGAAAGAATTTTTTAAAAATAGAATAACTTAAAAGTTACCTTTATATAATACTTCAGTATCCTCATTACATACTCATTTGACAGATCACAAACGGGAGATATATTTTTCCTATACCAAATATTTTAAATTTGAGAAATATAATGATTTGTAAACAAAATATACAAACTATATAAATTTTTTATTTTCAACATCATTTTAAATTCATTCCAAACTAAAGCTAAATGATATTAAATTTACCGTAAAAATTATTATATTTTATAAACTTAGTATAATAATTCAATGTTTAAATATTTTACAGTCGTAAATTATATACATGTAAAATTTTTCATTCTTACATCTATGAAAACTTAATTCATAATTATTATATTTAAATAAATAAATTTTTGTGTTTTTACTGAACACATTGCACTTTTATTCATGAGTTTAAAAAAATTCAAATATGGTATTGGTCATTGATATATTGTGTATTTACAAATTTTCCTGCTGAAAATATCTATTTTTAAATTCTTTTTAGAATTTTCTCTCTTACTTCAACAATGTATTCATTCTAATTATACTTTTTTTAAATCAAAGTTTTGTATTGGTTCACTGAATCATTTGAGAATAGTCATAAAATTTATTTTCAACTATAACAATCTTATTCATAACATACAAAATATATTCTATCAAATCTTGTGTAATTTTTAATTATATTAGTGAAATGGTTGTACAACTGAGGCAGTAAAAGCATCAGCCTACTGCTCTGTATTTGAATTTGAATCAGGAATCTCAAAATTTTTCATGGGCTGTCTTATCCAGGCTATATAGGATTCTATCCTCATCACCCAGTCCTAAACCCATAATGAGAATAAAAAAAGGTCCTCTTAGTGCCCACAGGATGGAAAACTAAATCGAAATTATGTTAGGAGCTACATTGTTAATCAGGATTCAAACTTAATTCTAATATTAAAATAATCAATTAAATTAATTTCTGATGACATATTCTCACTAGTATGATTAAAAAAATTATAAAAAAATAAATTAAACCATCTTGTATAAATATTAATTAAATAATGAAAAGACTTCAATTCAAATTTTATTTTTTTTAAAAGAAAGCATACTCTTTAATCAGTTGATGAATTAAATCTTGGGCTTTCTCTACTAATTTGACAGCATCCTTATTGTCTTCTATTAATCTTGAAAGGAAATGATGATTACATATATCAAGTTTTCTTTTCTCCATTCTATTTGACTTCACATTAACATTTTCTAAATCAAACTAAATTAAATTAAATATGCAATTATTTTATGTGAAATAATTATAAAATCTACTAATTGAAAAAAATTGTAATTGTTACTTTTTCAGCAAGCTCTTGTAATGAATAAGACCAAGCTGTTCCTTTATGGTTTATTCCTCCAGTGTAAATACCAACATAATTAATTATAGCTTCAGGGAAATATCCAGTATCCTAACATTTTGTAATTCATATAATATTCAGTTTATTACAAATCAAATACTATTAGTTTTCAATCAATCATTTAAATTAGTCATATAACAGCCTGATAATTATTGATAACTCACTCAAGCCATTGTCAAGTAAAGTTAACAAACATGTAAGTCAAGAAAGACAGGAAAGCAAGTAAATAGGCACAACTTTCATTAGCTCTGTGCCATGCACATATGTTGTGATCAGTATGATCAGCTTTAACAGTACAGAGCTGTAAACAAACATAATGACAGCTGTACTTATTTACATGCTTTCCTGTCTTCCTTTCCAGTCTTACATGTTTATGTTATCTTGCAGTGGCATGCTGTCATTGAATGCGATGGATGCGCCGCTTAACTTGTATTTTCTAAAAAATAAATATATATTAATTTTAATTATATGAAAATAATCACACAATATTTTATTATAACCACATTAAGTATCTTATTACAAATTTCTATACTACATGTGAAAAAAAAAGATAAGATTGCTATTGTATATTTGAATATTAGTGACGGAGTGGAAGCACTGTATTGTCAGCATCCAAAAAGCCAGATTCGCGCATGCGCTTTACAGAGCACCAACCTCACCCGGTTTAGCCGGTGGAAGCCTACGACCTTGGGTGAAAGCTGCACACATATAAAGATTCCAATTCTATCAAGGACCGGTTCTGGGCTGTTAGCCGCCTGCCCACTAGATATTTCGATTACGTGAATAACGAGTAGATTTATAACTTAACCCAACCGATAAGAATTTACTGGTATGTTTTTACGATAGTTCTGTATAGTTGACAGGAGTTTAAAAAATCCATTAAAATATTTGATATATTTATTCCGCTCTCCGATTTTATATTACTCACGGATTTCGATGTTAAACCAGTGATATTACGATTTCGTACATCCCATCTTTAAGGGGATGTAGAAAAAAACGTGTACAATTCTTGTATAATGTTAAAAAATTAACCGTTACTTCGACAGCGTCATTTACAACTAAATTTAATGAATGAGAGAGATGCACCAGGTACAGAAAAAGCTCTAGAATTTATTTTCCTTAAATTTACGATTTATGTATCCGTTTGTCATAAAAATTTGTCTTTCCACTTTTTTCCCGAGACTACAAATATTCGAGTACAAAGTAACTGGTTTTGACTTATTTCTACTTAAGAAGTAGTTAAATAATTAAGCGATTAGGGAATTGGGGACATAAACAAAACCCTGATGAGAGCCAAAATTTTACTTAAACAAACGCTTAACTGAACCTTCTCTAGCTGAGTACAGTGGAGACTGATTTCTTCGTAATACAGTATTAGATGTAATAAAGACAGAAATTTTTCCAGTTCAACGAGAGTGACCGAAAAGTTGTAAATTTTGGAAATTTCTGAGGACACTTGGTTCTAAAACGAATTAGTTAGAAAACAAATGACTATTAAGTTTAACATATTTAGATTTTTACAGCTATGGTGAGAAACGTTTAAAATCTACAACAGCCCTGTCACATCCTTTGAGATATACTAGTGATGTGACAAAAGAGGTATTTGACATTGACTGGTATCGCCACCTTGGGGATTTGGCAGTCCGCGTGTATGCACGCTCTGCAACTGACTTCGATTCCATCCATTAGCCACTCGTAGGGAGCTATTTGACTAAGCGCACTGTTTTAAGATTTAAAAAGTAAAGAATATTTTATATTTTTACGTATGTTTCTTTACAAAGCTATATTTAATTATAATTTTCTTTAAAAGTATATTCATATAATTGAAGAATATTTTGTACCAGGTATGTACCATTACATCAACCACAAATTTTATTTCACCAAGTAAGTTTTTATTATTTTATTTTTAATTGTAGCCCTTATATCGTGGCTAGCAATTCAGAATGAAATTGTGGTATTAAAAATGCATTTAGAGAAGTCTATGGTTTTTACTGGCTTATCGAATAAACAATATGAATGGACCTTAGACCATCACTGGCATGCAATTGACTGATTGCCCCTGGATGCCGGCTTCTTACAGAAACACAGCTTCCCTATCATCAAATGCCACGGCACGCCACTGTTATCTTGACAACAGCATTGAGTTATCAAAAAATAATACAGAGTAAACGTTGTTTAAATTTTCATGTACAGGGGTATCCCTTGCTTAATGCGGGATTTGATTAATATGCAAAATTAATTGTGACAATCCCTTTATATACATAGCAGAAGTTTTAATTAATGTGGCTTTACCAGCTGTCTTTACTTAAAAGATGTACCATGGACTTTGCCAAAGAATTCTCCATAAGACAGCATAATCCAGGAAGTCTCTAACACATACACTTACCAACTTTTAGAAATGTATAGTTCCATTGCACTTTGTTTGGCTACAATTAGTCAATCCTCCTAATTTTATTTATTCCCAAGTTATGAAATTGGGTCACTTTAATAAACAAAGCAAATTACACCAATTTCTAACAAATTTTATAAGAAAGCAAATGTTTTCAACTATGTTAAATGAGCATGCTTCTTCAGGCTAACTGACTTTCACAGTTCATATGCAGCTGTTAAAACAAAGGGATTGCCATTCACTTGTTAAGAGGAGTAATATAAGGAAAGAGGGAGTAGGGGGTTGTAAGATTAAAAGTTGTAGATCGACTTCCATGCAGGGGGAAGGAATCTAAATCTTGAAAGTTTATAGCTGCACTTTTACTTGCGGTTTTGTAAATCTCTAAATTATTTGTAACACTCTGTATATTATAAATTGTTAACTAAAATAAAAACTTTTTAAATTTTATACTTACTTTAAGATATTGTACATGAATATCATTTTGTCTTTTAGATAGTTTTGATCCATCTCTAAAACATTAATCATTAATACAGTAAAATGATTTAATTTTGATATAATATTTAAAAAAAATTAGTTTAAAATTTTAAATAAAACATTTAGTTATAAATTTTATCATAAAACATAAGAATTTATTTTAGATTAAAAAAGTTTAGGTAACATGATTTCATACAAATGTACAGCAATAGCCATGTAAATTGCACAACCCAAAAAAATCTTATTACAGTCAACCCCCTATAACACTGTTGATAATTCTGTTTTATATGAATTCCATGTTGTATGAGTCACTTAGATTTTACAAATACGTGAGCCATTCACAACCTCCACGTATTTGTAAAATCTAAATGACTCGTACAACATGGAATTCATAATAAAACGGAATTATCAACAGTGTTATAAGGGGGTTGACTGTATATAAAATTGTGTTTATTTTTTAAGTTGGAGTATCAATTTGATGCAGACTTGCAACAAACCATAAAGATTGAATCATTCAAGACATCATAAATATGATAATGCTTTTCACTGGCTGAAAAAGTCTACTGCAGCAATGTTTTTAATGACTGCATCATCCATTGGTATAAAAACTTGTGCAATGATGATACATTTTATAAGCAAAACAGAAAGTTTTCAACAGATAATGAAGCATCTCAGTTTATAAGAACATACTGCTAACTCTTCCAACTTGAATGTAAAATGGGAATAGAAACAGGCATAAAAGAGAGTACACCTTGTGACATCATCTGTGCAACTTGGGCTTAAAAACTTACAATCTATGTAAGAAACCATTAATCACAAATAGTATGCACATATAGTGGCTTATCTGGTTAAACAGCATACAAACTAGAGTACATGTGATAAACAGTGACATGTAGGATTGTATTTTTTTTTTTAGATGAAACCGATTTTATCTGCATAGAATTGACAGCTAACTCTACATTAAGCTTAGAAAAAGCAAAGCCTATAATGGGCTGCTTGGTGAAAACAGTAAAGTTTCTGATGAGTCAAATGATGTTGGAATGCATATCTAGTAAAAGTGTTGGTGGACTACATTTTAAGTTCAATGTGGCATTATATATTATAAATTGCATGTTTCTAGTTTATTTTTCTTGGTTTATTCTCTAAACTACCCATATTATCATTACAAATCTCTATTATAACTTAAATATGCTATTTTGCACATCTGTTGAAGAAGGCCATCAAAATATTATCTTTATTATTGTGTGTGTTGTAATTTTTATCTATCACTTCTTTTGTAAAGAATAAGGACTGAAGAGGGGATCAGTCATTAAGACTCAAAATGCATTTCCTCTATTAATAAAGCCTATATCAATAACTGTTCCTTGTGTAATAAGTTTCTCAAAGAAGCTTCCTAAACATTGCCAATAACTTTAGGATTTTTTGAAAAAATCCACAGAAATCAGTAACAGAACAATTAATTAAAAGCCATCAAGAGCTTTAGTAAAGTGAGCCCCTTTAGCCTTTTTTGTTTTTTTTTGAACAAATGAAATACATAATTTTTTTTATTAATAAAGAAATAATCTTAAAGATTTATTTTCTGTTAGTAAAATTAACATTAGTTTAGAGGTAGGAACCACAGCAAGCAGCTAAATTTTTTTCAAGGAAAAATTCCTAGTTTCCTTCCATATCAACAACCCTGCTGTTTAAATGCTTTTTGGTTTATATTATGGGCAATGCAATTTCCATGCTGCTACTGTATTAATATACTAAACTGAAAAATAAAAAATTATAAATACCATTACAAATATTCTATGATTTTAATATTGTTACTTACACATTCAGAGCAAGAGGTAAATGAGCATATTTAGGAATGGTCCAAGATAATGCATTATACAACATAATATGTTTAGGTGTAGATGACTGCCATTCAACTCCTCTTAAAATATGAGAAATGTTCATTAAATGATCATCTACAACATTTGCAAGATGATATGTTGGATAGCCATCACTTTTTAATATTACCTGTTTACACAGATACATTAATAGATAATAAATTTAAAAATTATCATTTAAAAAAAATTCTCTCACTGGATCTCCTTCAGATTCAGTCACTTTAATTGTTATTGTGCCATATATTATATCGTTAAATGTAATATCTTTGTTTTCTAACTAGAAAAAAACAAAATATTAAATTAATGTTCATAAATTCTTAGCGTTAAGAACTAATCCATAAACTACATAATACATTATTTATTAAGCAGAAAGAAAGATAAAGTTATCTATTCAATATTTTATCATCACAATTATGTAATATTATCAAAAACATAGAAATTTCATTTAAAAACATTATTTTTTTTTCTATTTTTTTGGCATACATACAGAAAAACTTTCTGTATAAATAGATTCATCATATTATTGCTAATTGAACAATTCTAACATCAAGAACTTTATTTAATCATCTCATATTATAAGGTAATAGCATTAAATTTATGCTCAATTCACCATGAGGTTAAATGTTAACACTAATATGCACAAAATAACAGCTTACTTATTCCAGCAATGTTTACTCTGAATTACAAATGTTTTCAGCCACATTTAGAGACCTTCTTCAAGTAAAATGCCATTCCATTTATCAGACATTTGAAAAACAGAGAAACATTCTACAAGTGTTATGGATTTGATTTTGTACATATCAGTGTTAATTGAAAAGTTCCAGTTTTATTAATTAACTTTATACAGTTAAGAATGTTTTATTTACTTATATACTTTTATATTTTGTTATAAGATAAAAACAAAACATAATATATGGACAAGCTATTATATTAAAAATTATCTAAATATCATTAACCTCACCTTAAATCGAACAACATATGGCTGCCCTGCAGACAACTTGTCATTAATTTCTTGTTTACTCAGATGTCTGCACATATTATCATAACCAAACTTTGGAATTCTCTTTTTTCTTAAATCAAGTTCTTCTTTAGTGCAAAAACATCTGTAAGCAGCATTTTTCTGAAAAAGTACTGATCTTAATTCTCTTTCATACATTTTTATAATATATTGCACTACTTATTATAAAATTTTCAAGTAATTTATTGTACACAATACACATAATATTAATTAAAATTATTGTGTGCAACAAATTTAATTAATATTGACTAATCAAATTTATTATATCATCACATTAGACTTATTCTTAATAACTTTTTAAATAAATTTATATACAAACATAAAATGATATGTAAAAACAACAAAAGAATGTAAAAATAAAAACATCTTATTCAGAATCAAAAACTACTGTACAGTTAAGTGACAAGACAGTAAAGTAAATATGCAGAAATTACTGAGTAAAGATTAATAGTAAATGAATAATTAATTGTATTGTCAATAATAATGATCATAATGAAGTTCAATTAGTAAACTAGATAGAGTAATATACTAAACTTACTGGAATACATGCTGTCTTATTATGTACCGTACCTTCATAATGTTATAATTTTATGAATTTTTAAATTACCATATTGTTCCCAATATAGTACATTTCTTTTTTGAAATTTCTACTTCTCAAAGTAAACAGTTGTACTATATGCAAGAAAGTTCTTTCTAACCTACATATAGTATGACCCTTATACATAGCATTATTGCAATATCTTTCCAGTAGAAGTCTGTTTTACTCTGCTCACACATTGTCAATGTGATATTTCTTTTATGTAGTTTATAGGTAAGAAGGAATGGCAAATGAAGAATGTGTTGAAAAATGAGACTCAATATTTCGGCAGGCAAACAATGGAATTCAAAAATCATTCAACTAAATTTCAAAGACAGAGTTTTGAAATATGCTCAGAATCACAATAATTGTGAGACAGCAAAGAAATTCAAAACAACAGAAGCAAATTTGTGGTACTGGTAACTTTAACTATTTTGTAGTTGATTCTGCAGATGTAAAAGTAAAAAGTCATACTATATTTGATTATTTTTTCCTTATGAAACACTCCTTGAAAGTTGGTGGTCATACTATATTTGAAATAATATAGTATTATGTGTGATTTTACATATTTATTATATTGCATTTTATAATAAATTAATTTTTACATAATTTCATACAAATTCGTCTGTTAATTGTTAAATATTGAACTAATGTCAACTTTCTCCACATTGTTTTAATGTATGACAATTATTCAAAAGTTTTCAAGATAGAACTAATCTTTATCTTCAGCTATTATACAATGTGTTCAAAAAAAAAAAAAAAAAACTGGACTTTTGTCATGGTGTGCAAACCATCGTACCAATCAAATTCTGGCAAGTGGTTAGAAGCAAACTTTGGTAACACAATGCCACTTGGTACGTTGTACTGATGATATAGAAATGTTGAAGTAAACACATGCAGTCATTGCTCTAAGAAGTAAAAATGAAGAACTCTAAAGAGCAACATGTTTGTGTGAAATTTCACTTTAAGATACATTTTTGGCCTTAAAGAAATTACTAATGATTTTCTTAAGGCCAAAAATGCTTTGTAGTTATCTTCAGTTGTAATAACTACATTAAAAGTTAATGCTATTTTAATTGCTTGATTTCCATCAGTTTAGATCTAATAAATATTCAAAGAAATTAATAATAGAGATGTTTTGTAACTATGTAATGAAAATAATAATTCAATAAAATACAATTATTATCTTGTATGTTTTAAATTAAAAGCTATTATTAAATATATTTATATATAACAAGAATACAAATAAAACTTACTTGAATTAATTGACCAGCTGCATTCTGATATAAATGTATTCTTTCTGACTAATCAAAACAAAACAAAAACAAAAAAAAAATTGTTTTAGAAATAAATACAATTTATTCAAATCTTTAAAATAATTACAGCTCAAATATTAAGAAAATTAAAATAAAACATTGGTCATATTTTAAATTTTTTAATGTCATGCAGGTTTTGCCAAATTTCATTTCAATCTGCTTTGAGATCTTTACTTTTTTTTATAAACTGTCAATTAATTATAGATTACTGTTTGCTTATATGCTCCTTAACTTATTAATAAAGTCAATCACAAATAATAAGAAGCCTATCTATTAATAAATAAATTATGACTTTTATCGTTTGTTGATTCTCCAAAGACTGGAATTTCTGAAAAATTTGCCAAAAGAAATAATACCTTAATAATGAAAAATACATGTTTAAAACAAATGTTTTGAACCCATTTAAGAAATCATCTTCATGTTACTTGTGAAAATCTTAAAAGAATATGAAAAAAACAAACATGTTCTATTACTAATTTATAAGTTTTATCTTAGTTTTATATTCCAAATAATTAAAATTGTTTAAACAAAATTATTTTAAAATATAAAATTTCATTCTGTAAAAAATAAAATATATATATTTACTTACTTGAACATAAGGAGCACAAGGACCTCCAACATATGGGCTTTCGTCTGGAATTAAACCAGACCAGTTTAATATTTCATTTAAGTGTTCTGCAGTACCAGGAACTTTTCTTTTCTGTTTTACAAATTAAAATGTAATGAACTTTAATCATGGAATGAGATTAATAATTTATATAAGATTCATAACTTAATGAAAAATATTATTTTGAAATGGCTGGTATTATTAATTAATTTGATTTGTGTCATTTTAATAAGTTAATATGAAAATCAATTTAAGATAAAAAACATATTGAAAATCAATTTGGTATCTATCAAAGACTTTCAATAATTTTTAAGTAGAATTTAATAACAATTAAATATTTATCTTCTCTATAATTTTATAAACATCAAGAATATTTAAATCTGATTATATACAGGTAATATACAGTCAAACCTTGGGTTATTTATGAACAAAGTTTTGAATGCCATATTTGCTCTGGTAGCTATATGATAACTTGGTTTCTGAACAAGCTACTTGGCAGAGCCAGCCACTGATGGTCAACTTCCTATACTTCCAATGTTAAGGTAAGTTGACGGGATCAATGATAGGATTACCAATTCAGTAGTGGTGCTGAGATTCACTTGGCATATATATTAGATGTCACAACACAAACCGTCATGGACTTTGTTATTCAAATTAGATTTCAATGAACATGTGTGTAAGATCCTTCTTCCAGTTTTTAGTAAGTATAACAATTCAATTTAATTCAAGTTAATTAATAAAAACTGCATTAATTGACATTTGCATAATATAAATGACATCCAATAATTCCTATTTAAAGGTGCTTAACTGAAATTAAATAACAAAAATTTATTATTAAATATATCTTTTTTTATTATTTTTCATTAGTACATAATCGATGTTCGGCATTATATTTAACAGTATTAATTCAGTGCAATGATTTTTAATAAACATCTTTTAAAAAAACATCAGTATCTGTAAGCCAGAAAAAAAATTTAATCATCATACAAAATTATTAATTACTTTTCTGAATTTTTGGAAAAAGTAAACAATAGCAAATTACTGCTTCCGTAAATTATTCATTTAACTCTATTTTTCTTTTTTAAATTGAATTAAAAACCACATTACTAGAAACAAAGGAAATCTTACACCATGATAAATTAAAATGAAAACTAATGACACCACTCATATTAAACAGAAAACGTAAATTGCATGATTGTTACAACTCCACTGATTCAGCTGATAAATCAACATGACATTTCTAGCCTAAAAAATATTAAATTAAAGCATTTTTTCAAAGGTGTTTCGAGGTTACCTATGACACAGTTAATTCTCCATGACTTTTGGAAGAATCACTTCAATATCTTCCATTGCTTAGGTTTTATTTACAAGGCCTGGCAGCAAGTGACTCACAGGACCTTGAACTCATACTGGAAAAACCTCTGGCCTGATTGCGTTGCAGAGAGACTTCGAGGGACTCGAGCCAGAACCTACTACAGTTGTCAATGACATCGTACTTGTAGGGAAAAGCATGGCCCTGGAAGTCAACAATGCTGATGTTGAAGAACTAGTGAAAAAATACAGTACTGAGTTGTCTACCTACTAACTCAAACTCCTTCAAAAGGAGCAGCAGAAAGATATGCTTGAGGAGATGCCCTTGGAGGAAGAGGAGGGAAGGGAGGATGTGCCTAGTGCTCTTATTAATGATGTGTGCAAAATGGAGTAAAGTGCAAAGTTTTGTTGAAAGGTATTACCCTAATAAGACTGTAGCAAGCCATGTCATTAATCTTTTCAATGACAATGCTATGTCTCACTTCCATAACGTTGCGAAACGTAGGCAAACGTAAATTTCGTTAGACAGATTTTTATTGAAAAAGAGGCCCAATGAGTCCCAAACCAAATCTGCTAGTGAGAAGTAGAAAATCCAAAGGGTAAGAGAAAAAAACTCCTGAAGCACAGGAGTTTTTTCTCTTACCCTTTGGATTTTCTGCTTCTCACTAGCAGATTCTGCTTGATGGTTACCTGATGTTATTATGAATGGGAACTCCTATTCCAAGAAATAACATCCCTTCCTTTCCACCTCCTCTCCACCTGCATCATCAAGACTTCTCAGCACAGATAAGGTTGAATAAAATTGTCTTTCTATTATTTATAAACCTTATCCAGTATTCAGTTGGTTTGTTATAATATAATATTACATTGCATTTGTAGGCATTTTTATGGATGAAATACAGCTAAAAAACTAAATAAAAGGTTTTGTTTTGGGATTGGAAACAGATGAACCCATTTTACATTGTTTCTTATGGGTAAATTTGTTTTGGTTTGAGAACAAATCGGTTTCTGAACAACATTTAAGAACAAATTAAGTTCTTAAACTGAGGTTTGACTGTATATTTAAATTTTAATTTGTAAGCCATATTCTAGTTAAAATATTTCATTACCATATAAATTTTGTGTTTATTTTTAAAATGGGTAAAAGTTTATAATCACTACATCACTAATAAACATATTCTAAATAAATAGAATTTTTTTGACTCAAACAAATCTTCCATACTAAAAGACTGATGTCTTTACTATCTTGCTTCTCCAGCCATTATGTATATATTGTAACATATAAAGAATCAGGAGATTTTATTCATTATTAATTCACATTAAATGTTAAAATGAAATAATTAATAGTATTGTATTTGATTGCTGTTCTAACAATTAGTTGTATGTTCTTCAGAACTTGGCATAAAGTTGCTATTGAGAACATATCATACAGGAACACTCCTTTTGATGGAAAAAGTATATTTATTTCTATAATTTACAATGGAATTTCAAGCTCTATGCCCCTCTTCAATCCTTATTTTATTATGTATATCAGTAAAACTAAAAATAATTATATTGCCAGCTGAAATAACTAATTATTAAACTGAGGGGTAAAACAAGTAAAACTGTAAAAATAATAATATTTTGGTTAAAATGTATTAAAAATTTGAGTAATAAAGATAGTAAAAACATAAATTCCATAAAAACTGGTTAAAAACAAGTTGTAAAGGTATTTGTTTATTAAAAATTTTATTGATCAGCACCAAAGAACAGCATTGAAGAGGCAGTGTAGTAAGCCAAAGGGGAACTGTGTTTTTTGTAGTTACGTTTTTACTGTTCTATTGTATTAAAAGTGGTACAGAAAGAGTGATGGTTTTCAAGTTGGAAAGAGTTCATATTACATTTCAATTTTATTTTCATTCACGTACTGCAATCACACCAAAAATCCCAGTCTGAGTTATCACCTCATTTGCACACAAGCTTTACTACTGCCTCACCGAGAATGGTCACCAGTCTAAATGTAAGTTGTAACAAAATTTAAACCCGTAATCCATCCTCTATTGTATTAAATTCTTGTCATTTGTATTACCCTTCAATTACTCTTTAACTTGGCTTCACTTTCTCAATCATCAGAATTAAATTTTGCATTAACAGATATGTTTCCTCTATTCTACAACAAAACCCAGCCTACGCTACAACAGCAAGAACTTTTCCCAGTATTGTTCTCCTATGGTCTCATGGCACATCCTGTATTATTTTAATTTATTTATTAATTAAATATATAATTATTATTTCATATTGTTACCAAATCAGTGTCTTCTATCCTAAGGATAAATTTTCCTCCGTTCTTCTTGGCAAATAAATAATTACAGAGAGCTGTCCTCAATCCTCCTATATGCATAGATCCAGTAGGACTAGGTGCAAACCGAACTCGAACATCTCCACTGTAAAATCTTTTACATTTTAATGCGCAATTAAGTATTTTCAGCGATGAAAACGCTTTCATGTTTAAATATTAAGCTTTTCTTGCGATCTTCGCAACCATTCCCGCATCAATTTTATTATCGCCACCTACTGGACAGATTACTGTTTACACATGTGCGACTCGAGTAGTGTTGCCAGATTTGATATGTTTCTACAGTTTAATATTTAAAATATTAATATCTATATTATTAAAAAAAATAAATATAATTAGCGGTATAACTTCTAATCGTATGTAATAATTTATATGTTACCTTAACTTTACGAGCGAAATATTTTATTATTCTTTCCGTCATGCAGATTCTAAGAGAACCTTTTTTCATTTTCATTATTGATTCGACAAACCAATAATGAGGACGATCAGATAATGAGATAAGGCTTCGATATATCCGGATCAACCCGTACATTAAAATTTCTCAGTTAACTAGAATTCCTAGATCAGCAGGCAGATGCTTTTACCGCCTCGGTCTTTAGCGTTATTAATTTTTGATTGAAAACACGAATACCTTTCTATAACACAAGATCAGTAAATATATAAAAAAGTTTATTTAATTCATTCAGTTAAGATTATACTTAAAATTACATTTTATTGTATACATATGCTTTGTACAAAATTTTATTTAAAACTAAATAAATCAATTAAATAAAAATTATTGTAAAACATAATAGTGGTACTTCAGGATACGAACACCCCAGCATACGAAATTTTCTGGATACGACATGAAATTCGAACATATTTTTGCTCCACGATACGAACAAAATTTCACCATACGACGTTACATTAGTTCGCAGCGCCATTTTTTATTCACTTCTGTTCATTGGTCTCAGTCCGCGTGTTTGCTTCGTCGTGGAAGGATCTTGCTCGATAAAGGAAATCGTGAGGTATTATCAGAAAGTGACTGATTTTATTGAAAAGAAACATCCCAAGAAGGTTCACACTGGCCGTATTGCTGTGTGGCGAAACGCCATATTATTGTATACGCGCTAGCCGTAACTCTAGTGTTTAAGATTTTCTTTGTGTTCTTTGTCTTCTCTCTTCTGGATTTTTCCACCCTTCACTTCCTGTTCGTTGGAGGGGGCAACACCGTTACGAGAACGAGGCCAGAAAGGGAGTGTAGGCCCCGAGGTGAACGAGGGAACTCATTCTCGAAATAGACGAGGAAGCGAGCAGACGGACATCTCGGACAAGATTTATTAAGAGAGAAGAGAAGGACAGCGACGAGTGATCCATCGAGGGAAGAATAGAGAAGATTCCGGCCAAGAATTGTTTGAATCGTTGAACTGAATTACAGTTTCCCCCTCCAACAGGAAGATATCACATCTAATTATTTCGGGTACCCTTTTCTCTAAACTTTCTATACGTTTCCTTACCTATGCTATACTATCATCCTTCCGTAATTTAATCCTAGCTTGTAAGATAGTTATAACCTTAGTAATTAAGTTAGTAGCTGTGTTCTATTGTCGCGAACCTGCCTTCGATGTGTATCACCACGTGCGCAAAGCTTTTGTTTCCGTTATACACGTGTGAGATCGAGTAGGGATTCGAATTACTTAATTTCAATATTACCCCACAACTTTAGTGGGAGCTTATGTAATTTACTTTTGTCCACGAATAAATTCTGTATTTTCCCATATCTTTGTTTTTATTGCCCTTTCGGGGCTCCGTACTCATATATATATCGTAACAATGGCGTCCGCGACAGGATCCCCGCTCTAACTTCACACGTGTATACGGATTCTTTGTTGCCATTGTGTGTAGTGTTATTACGATATTATTCGATTGTCTTTATTTAAGCACACGTGGTGTTCATTATTATGGATAAGAGTACTCTGGTGGAGAGCTCGGTCCAGAGCAGCGGAAGTATCGGTAACCCCGCTTTTGTCGTGACCGGATTCCTCGAGATGATCCCAACGTTCTCAAACTCCCCCAGCGACTCCGTTAATATAATTCAATTTTTCCAAACTATCGAAAACATAGCTAACCTTGCAGGGTGGAATAACGTGGTGAAAATCGCCGTCGTACAAGCCAGGCTAAAAGGCGAACCCTTGAGTACCTTTTTTTGCCTATTAGAACAATACCCGCAATCATACGATGAAATCAAATGGGATTTGATCAAGTGTTTTGATAAAAGGAAGACAGTTGAAAAAAACATAGTTGATCAATTACTGAATCTAAAGCAAGGGAACAACGAACCTGTTACCGATTATATTATACGTACTAAAACACTTCTATCTCGCGCTGTTAGTGATCATCACAAAATAATCGCTCTGCGTGACGAAATTATAATGGAGAGATTCGTGAAGGGACTGTGCCATCGTATAAGGGCCAACGTGATGAGACGTGCTCCCAAATCCCTTGATGAAGCGTTCAAAATGGCGGAAATAGAAGAGAGAATCGAAGTCGAGTGTAACAGTGCGAATCAACCTAGAGGGGTATATACTGCAATGGGCGAGGAGAAGGAGGTGACATGTAATAAGAACGAGGTCGTTAATACTCCTAAAGGGGACGGTGGACCTAAACTAGACAACTTAGAAAAGAAAATTGATGCTCTGACGGACGCAGTGAACAGACTCGTGAGCGCTCGTGAAAAGGAGAATATGACCCATAATAAGAAATGTTTCAATTGCGGAAATGGGGGGTCACTTCGCCCGCTATTGTCCCACCTGTGGTAGACGTGATTTAAACGCGTAGAGGAGCACCAGGATAGCCAGCATAGTGCTCCGTACATTCAGCTAAATCTGGCGGACAAAGTTACTCGCTCCATAAATGGCCTTCCCCTCATTAGAGGTAGTATCGATAAATGGGATATTACTTTCCTTATAGATACAGGCGCTGAAAGGTCTTTAATAAGCTCCGAAATTGTTAACAAGATGCCATCCACGTATCTCAGCCGCGCCACCCTTCGAAATGATAAAATAGGTATAAGAGGGATAAATGGTAGTATTACTGAGTGTGACAGAATTTTACGCTGTGCCGTAGTGCAGCGTCATCAGATTCAGGAGGCCCCCATTGCGTGTATGGCCTTTCCTGACCACGTCGAATATAGTGCAAGAATTGGCATGGATGTAATAATTAAATTCCCAGAGATTATCGATAGTATGGGGAGGATGGTACATAACTCTCGTGGGAGTAGTGACGCCTGCACATCACCTGCTGTTTGCGTTAGTGAGACTCCTAAGGAGGCCCTCGATCTGAGCCACCTCACCTCACAGGATAAAGAAAAACTTCGTGGCATCTTGGATAAACACCCTAAATGCTTTGCTACATCCATATCCGAACTAAAAGGCACTACAAGATTCTCCCATAAACCAATCGTCGAAACTGAGAGGCCGGTCCATACAAAACAATATCGTATCCCTGAGTGTTATCTTAAAGAACTAAAAACCATGTTAGATTCGTATTTAGAGGCTGGTATCGTTGAGGAGAGTTCCTCCGCTTGGAATTCCCCTATTTATATCATCAGAAAGGATTCGGGCGAGCTTCGTATGACCCTTGACCTCAGACGGGTTAATGAATTTACCGTCTCCCAAGACTTTCCCATAGCGAGGGTCGATGAGATATTGAGTCGACTCCATGGGAGCCAGTATTTTTCGGTTTTAGACCTCAAATCGGGGTATTTTCAAATTCCCCTTGACCCCTCCATTCGTCATATATTTGCGTTCTCTACTCCTTGGGGCAAATATCAAATGTGCAGGTTGCCCCAGGGAGCGAAAAATAGTGGTAGATACTTTCAATACGTCATGTCTAACCTCCTGGGTCAGTTCCTGGGAATTAGTTGCTACGTATTCCAGGACGATGTTGTATTGTTTTCCCGTACTCGCGAGGAACATATGGAACTTCTCGATAGGGTGCTGAGCATTCTCGATGACACCAATTTAAAATTACACCCGAAGAAGACTAAATTGATCATGAGCGAAGTGCATTACCTGGGGCACGTGATCGATAAAGATGGGATCCGCCCCGACCCTAGTAATGTATCCGCGATTACGGATATTAGCCGCCCGGAAAATGTTAGGCAGGTACGCGCCTTCCTTGGGATGGTCGGGTTATTTCGGGGCTTTATCCCAAACTTTGCCGAATTGGCCCTCCCTTTAATTGATCTGACGAAAAAGGGAAAAGTTTTTGTGTGGAGTGAGAAATGCCAAGCATCGTTCAACAGGTTTAAAACCATCCTCACGAACCCCCCCCTACTGGCTCACCCCGATTTCAGCAGCTCGTTCTGTTTATACACTGACGCATCCGACAAAAGCGCTGGGGCGGTGTTAGGGCAGTTGAGAAATGGGGGTCTCATCCCTGTTGGTTATTTTAGCAAGAAATTCCGGGGCGCTGAAATGAACTATGCGACAGTGGAGAAGGAGTGCCTATCGATCATAATGGCGCTGCGCCACTTCAGACCCCTTATCCAGGGTCATACTATAAATGTGTATTCCGACCACAAGCCCTTAGTATATGTGAACAACATGCATAACCACAACAAACGCCTTATGCGTTGGTCCATGGAGTTGTCGGACTACGACATAAAAGTCCACCATGTGAAAGGGAAACACAACCCGGTCGCGGATTTACTTTCACGCCCTATCAATGACGATAACCCTGGGATGATTATGAATTATGATATGAATAGCATGAGTAATGGGTTTTGGAAACGAAGTATTGAGTCACAGGAAAGTGACGAATTCCTCAACAAACTGAAAACGCATATGACTGATCATAGTAATNCAAGAATTGGCATGGATGTAATAATTAAATTCCCAGAGATTATCGATAGTATGGGGAGGATGGTACATAACTCTCGTGGGAGTAGTGACGCCTGCACATCACCTGCTGTTCGCGTTAGTGAGACTCCTAAGGAGGCCCTCGATCTGAGCCACCTCACCTCACAGGATAAAGAAAAACTTCGTGGCATCTTGGATAAACACCCTAAATGCTTTGCTACATCCATATCCGAACTAAAAGGCACTACAAGATTCTCCCATAAACCAATCGTCGAAACTGAGAGGCCGGTCCATACAAAACAATATCGTATCCCTGAGTGTTATCTTAAAGAACTAAAAACCATGTTAGATTCGTATTTAGAGGCTGGTATCGTTGAGAGTTCCTCCGCTTGGAATTCCC